ATCATAATAGAATTCCATTATGATTCTATAGTTACAGCAGGCAGAAGTCACTGGAAGCCACCTGAGAAGCTGCCTACAAACGTTAGTAACTATTATTGCATAAAACACAAAGAACTAAGCAAAGAACAAAGCCTGTCTTACTCTAACAAGGCAGAAAGGTGCAGGTTGGGGATGAGCCATTCCAGTAAGTTTGCCACCTGTTCCTTGTGCTCACTTTCAGAGCTAGCTTGTCCTAGGAGCTGCATACACAAAAGCATGATAAGTCAGAGAGACAGAAGAAAACTCCCTCACTCTTCATATGACTAGTTTTTCGTGCAAAATGTATGAATAGTTCTTTGAAATACCACTTAATACAACAGAACAATGTTATTGGTAGAAGAATAAAACAAAATTTGAAAAGCATGGTTCAATATCTAAACTTCTGAAGCAAGTTCCTTTTAGCAATCAGCAGCTACTCACGATGTTTCAATGGAGTACTCACCAGCTCAGAGGCTGGTGATGTTTTAGAGTATGACAGGGCTTGGAAGATGAGAACATGTTTAAATAAAACCTATTTCTTGATCCCAAATAATGAAGAATCTAGTAAATCTGCTTCAAGAATTTGTAGAAAAATACCATGGTAACAAATCCTCCTCTCTTACTCCTTGACCTGTACCTAATGATTGTTTTCAACCTTATTTTGCTTTACCCTCAGCACCCTTTTCTTGAGGTCCACTCCTTTTCAGTGAGCATGGCCAAGACCAGTGCATTTCACATCTCGAAAGAACAGCTTGGTTCTGGCCACCCACTCTGCAGATGCTCGCTGCCACTTCCAGGACTGGATGAAGTAGATTTGGTCCTGCAGGCAACTTCAGACAAAATGCATTTTTTAAAAAAGTGCATTTTTTCTGAACCTGAGAACATAAAATGGTTCTAATTGTCATGGTCCAAGGTTGCTTTTTACAAAAACCGTAAGTAAAGGGCCAGGGATTTAGCTCAGTGGTTCCGGTGCCTGCCTTGCAAGTGCAAGGTCCCGAGTTTGATCCTCAGTACCAAAACAAAAACAAAAAAAAACAAAAACAAAAACAAACAAAAACTATAAGTATGATTATTTTATTCTGGAATCTAGTAGATAGGAAATGCCAACTTTATCCTAGAAATTATTTCTGCTGCCCAACGTGGCCTAAATTCTTTGCCAATTCTAGAGACTTTAGAAATCAAGGCAAAGAAATTAAAACAAGTATTTATTTCTAGTTCAAGGCTTAAGATTCTTAAAGTGCCAAATCTAGGATTAAGCATTGGAGAACTCTTGTATGGTCTAGATCAGTGAGGGCAAACCTTTTAGAGACCGAATGCCAAACTGCAACTCAAAGCCCACTTATTTACCGCAAAGTGCCAACACTGTAATTAAACCTGAATACTGTTTTACTTTAGAAAAACAACTCATACATTAACATCTCTCGTCTTAAAAGGAAAATACAATAACACATGTGACACAGGTTCACCACCATTGGTCTAGAGGTTCATCTCTAATAAAAAATGTACTGTGTTCAGAAAATGACTCTGGACAGTACATGCTAAACATGCACCCCAGTCATCAGCAAGACTGCTGGGCTTCTGCAGCCATTTAACCAATCCCAGAGCTATATGGAAGCATACGAGAAAAAAGTTAGTAAAGGAGGGTAAATTATTAGCAGAAGAAGCTAAAAGAGATATCTAAGGTCAGTTGTCATTTAGGGTGGCTCAGACTCAAATCATTCTCCAAAACTCAAGAGATATAGCACACAAATGTTTAATTTCTACAGTATACATTATTTCCTTTAAAGTCACAAAAGCAGAAACACTGAAGCTTTTTCTAATATCAAGCGAATATATTGTTAACATTATTAAGAATTCACAGTAATTGCTTGCAGTTTGTAGGCCCCAAAGAGTTATGGTAATAAATCTACAGAAGATGGTGTTACATAAATAAAAAGGAGAAATATAGTGTTCTGAAAAAATGATAGAATTACATTTTAAATGACTTACAAGCTTTACAGCTAGGCTATTGTTTCGAACTGCTTGACTTAAAACTCAGCCAGCAATAGCTGGGAGAGAGTGCTATGGAAAGAACATGGGGCTGGGAGGTCTGAGACAGGTACAGTACTACTTTACTTCTTTGGGCTTCAGTCTTCTCATTAACAAAGGAGGACCACATTTTCTTTCTTTGATCACTGAAAACCAAATTCCTTCTGGGTCTAATCAGTGTGACTCAAGGAATATTATTGTCAGTACTTGCGAGAAAAATAACATGAACAATCCAAAGAACTCATTTTGCAATGAGCACATGGTCTTTGGGAGTCATCCTTGGAGTGGCAGCCAGGCTTTTCTCACCATTATTTCATCAACTGATAAGACACCTGAAACATCCTTCTTAGCAGGTGGCAACAGAACTGTAGTGTTCAGTGCCAGACACTCAGGAGCTTAATAACCAATGATTTTATGAAACATGACAAAGACACTGACATAAGAGCTGTGAGCTCGAAGTTCAAGGAATGGTTTTAATCTTTGTGATGTGAAAATTCTCTGCTTTTTAAAGCTAAACTTTTATATTGAGTATGGCCCGGCCCCCCCCAACGATACCACACTTTACTCTTGTACACTTGAGATGCGGGGATTCTGTTTCCTGCAGTTTGTGGGCAAATGAGGTAACAATGACATATCATAAAGGTGTATCTTTTGGGCTGTGGATATAGCTTAGTGGCAGAGTGCTTGTTAGCAAGGCCCTGAATTCAATTCCCAGCAACAAAAACAACAAAAAAATTTTTTTTTTAAGTTGAGTCCTGCTATGTTGCTCAGGCTGGTCTCTGATTCCTACCTTTAAGTGATCCTTCTGCCTCAGCCTCCCAAGTACTGGGACTACAGCCATGTGCCACTGTGCCTGGCAACACTGCTCCTTAACTGAAAATACTGACCTTTTGGTCGGTATACATTTAGCGTTAGAAGGTATTGTATACTTCACACTAGGGCACTGGGTAGAGTGTAATCACTTCCATAAGATGGCTAAATTTTATGTATTTTATTACTTAGTAAATAATTTGTAAAATTTTCTCACTGATCTCAAAGATTAAATATACAGCATTAACATTATTCTGGTACTGTCTAAAAGTTATTAGTTCCATTCTCTTTCTATAAAATACAGATAAATGTTAACTAAGAAATGAGATCTAATGCTATGTTCAAAGAAGGCAGTCTTCGGTCTTCTGGTTCTCCTGTTCCAGCCCTGCAAAAGGACTCAGCAGAATACAAGGTTCCTGGACTACATTAAGTTGTGCTTTCACTGGCTGAAGGTTTACATTGTGACTTCTCCTGCATTTTTTTTTAATTCTGAGGAAATATTGTCCTGCACAAGGATCCTCAAGCCTTAGAGAAAACTAGCCTCTGCAGATGGTGTTTTCTATTGTAAAAAGTAAAAACTGTTTCCTTCATTTTAGCAGCCAGAAAATTTAGAACCAAATTTGCTGTCCAAGCTTTGCTTTCTAAGTTGCATAAAACCTTGCATTTCTGTGCTGGTTTTATTTGGGGGGGTACCAGGGATCGAACTCAGGACCTTATGCTTCCGAGACAGGCACGGTGCCACTGAGCTAAATCCTGGGCCCCTCTGTGCTGTTTTAAGGTTAAATGTCTTTTGTAGGTCTCGTCAAATCCTTTTAAAATAGGATACAAATTCTAAAAATAAAAATATAGTTAAACCTACTATCACTATTTCCTACCATAACTAGAGGTTAAAAATGGATTTAACAGCTATTTTTATAATAATTTTACATAGAAATTATGCTAATTTTTCTTATTATGAAGAATGAGAATAGTTATTGTTTTATATTAAGTATGCTGTTCAAATGTTGGCTGGCCTAAGTTAGCTATTAAAATGTCTATCCAGGGGCTGCTTGGCAAGCATGAGGTCCTGAGTTCGAATCCCTAATACCAAAATAAATACATTTAAAGAATGTACCAATAAATGTTTAATCCCCCCAAAAAAACACTTGAAAAACAATAAAATGCCTATTCAACTTAGCTATTTAAAGAAATTAGTTATCCAAGCTGTCTCTGGTATTAGTTCAATGAATATTACATTCATTAAGTCTTTTTATCCTTCCCTTTCAACTTGTTTTGTTTTTGTGTGTGTGTTTTGTGGAACCAGGGATCGAACTCAGGACCTTGCACTTTCCAGGCAGGCACTGGCACCACTGAGCTAAACCTCTGGCCCTTTCCAACTTGTTTTGAAAATAGAAAATTATGTTAACTTTAAAAAAATTAAATCATGAATATATTATGCGTAGATTTTCTCCTGGATATAATCTAATTTGTAAAAATGAATAGATAAAGAAAATGTGGTATTTATATACAATAAAGTACTACTCTGTCATAAGAAGGATAAATTTGGGTCATCTGAAGGAAAATGGCTGCATCTTGAGACAATACTGTAAAGTGAAATAAATCAGACACTCAAGCTTAAATGTCACATGGCTTCTCTTATATAAGAGAATATATAAAGAGTAAAATAAAAGATAAAAGATAATAGGAAACAGGGAGATAGATCTTTTGCAAGTGGTAAGAGGATCCAGAGATGGAAGCAGGGGTGGGAAAGGGAAGTAAGAAGAATTAAGATGTGTTTGAAAATGTGCCAACTCCCCATGATGAATAGAATCAATACGTATTCCCAACATGTACCAATAAAAATTTAAAAAGAATCTGAAAAAAATACGATTCAAGATACACACTTTGAGGCAGTATTTTGTTAAGTATAAAATTTAAAGTCAGAGCTCTCACTAATTTGAAAACTTATCTTTGTAATATTTAGAAGAATGAAATCCAGTGAAACTTCAGTCTTATGTCAGTGAAAATTCACTACAAAAATGTAGAAAATAAAAATTTACTCTTAAAGAGCATATCTGTATTAGTTATAATTTGATAAATGAATTCCTTTTTACATGTATCTTAAGATCCAAAATCTCAGTGCCAAAAATAACATGATTGACAGATCAAGTAGCAATGCATATTTTAATATTTGTGTAATGATTTAGAGCAATAAATATCACACTGAAAAATTATCACAAACTAAATACAAAGGGAAAGAAAAAGCTTATGTACATATGCCAACATGTTTATAATAAATTAGAGTGAAGAGTTCCATCACAGCTTATTTGCATACAAAGCTACTAATGTGAATAGTGAAAGAAATCTGGCATGTAGATCTTTAATTTAGATTTAATAAAGATTGTACAGTATCAAATGATATCAAAAGTCTAAAAAAACACATTTTTATAGCATGTTTATAAATTATTGTTTTATATACCATAAAAAACATAAGGTCAAAAGTGCAGTTTAAAAAAAAGTTGATATTACTTTTGATAATCGGTAGAAAAATGTACTGTACCAAGAAAGAAGCAATTTAAATGTGCACACAGTTTTTCAGAGAATTTTCCTTTAACTCTCCTACAATCTTGGTTACCATATGCCAAAAAATGAACAGAAAGGAAGCAAAGTAATTGTTTTTACAAAAATAATAGAAAACATCGATCTGGTGATAAGAAATGCTGCAAATGAACATAATTACAGGTTTCCCTACAAGTGGATTAAATGACTGTTGTGTAGGGACATCACTGACTGTGACCACATGTAAGAAATTTTGAAGGCTTGCTAGAAGTTTTTATCTTTCTCAAATTCTTTTAGTCATACTGGCAATGGTACATACATCCCAGTATTATAAATTTTCTAGTATAACTAAAAAAAAGTATGATTTAAAGGTAATAAATCATATAGCCTACTTCTTGCAGAAAGCAAGGACTAAATACTCAGTAATTAAAAGGCAGTACTATAGAAATTAGTTAAGAAGAAACAAATGAAATCTATCTGAGTCTTAACTGGCACTAATCGCAGTAACTGTATGTTGGAAACTGAGGAACAAATGCCTATCCTGAAGTACAGAACCTCTTATGTGAGAAACCAAAAAAATGGTGAAACCACAGGCATTTACCACAAATTACTTTTAAAGAAAAGTAAAAGGAATATAAGAAAAATCTTATTTATAAATTTACTGTGGGATTAAAATAGTAACAGCGCTCTATCAGTCAGGAGTAGCATTCCTGATGCTCAAACTAACAGGCAGCCTGAGCCTGGCTCATCATCACCACTACCCTCCTCTTCGACTGCTAATTAACTGTGGTGCTTTGCCTGTATGATGCCAACAAACAGGTGGGGATGAGTTTTTCCATGAATATATTAAGCTCCTTGGTTGGTTTAACATATATTACTGTCTGAGAAAATAAAAACATCACCATTACCATAGGTTAACAGCAAATGAAGGTCTTTCTAGTTTTGATGGGAGAAAAGGATTGGCTACTGCAAACAGAATGGGCATTCTGTAGGCTGCATACACATACTTAATAATTAATGTCACCTTAGTGGAAGATTAAAAGTCGATGGATATAGATGCTTGTGCAGAATCTTCTCGCCCTCTGACATAAATTTCACAGGGAATCTCCTCCATTACTCTGTCTTCTAGGGCCTGCTCAGGGCACTCGTGTGCCTGTTTGAAAGTGTAGCTACTTTTCTTGAAGGTGCTATTGAATGTTTTCATTGGCTGTGGTTGTGCAAAATCATTTCGGAAAGGAAGTTCCATGGAACTGAGGTTGGTCCTACTTTGTTTGACACTGGATGTCTGCGACCCACAGTGATGGTCATGGATGCACCGGGAGGCGGTGGATGAACGCCTCATCTTCTGGTAGTTGTCCAATTCTTCTGACAAGTCTGCCAGATCTGCAGAAATCTCTTTGTCCCTTAATGAAAACAGTTCATAATGAGGAGGATCAAACACTTCTTGGAACCCAGTTTTATTAAAGGCAGTTTTGCAAGCCATGACCTTTTTCCGGGGCTGTTTCACTTGTACTAAAATAGAAATAATGAGAAGAACCAAGACAATCCCTGATGTAATGCCAATAATTGTTCCATGAGTTTTAGTGATTTGTTCAAATATTCCGGCTTTCTTTTTTTCTGTAGAAAAAGAAACATTGAAGTTTTCAAAATTCATTAATAGAGGTCCTAGCACAAATCAGTAAGGTATTTTTAGGTAAAGAAGAAAATACGAGTGAATATATCACAGACAATGCAACTGAAAACTAGACTCTTAACTACTCCTATTACTATGATGTCTAAGTAATCACAATACAGCTAGACAGATAATAGAAAAGATAGAGTATGTACTTCATTACTCATATACATATACTTGATTACTCACATACATAAATGCATGTAATTTTCAAAACAAATCAAATACAGTAATATAGAAAATTCCAACATACTCTCTTGTTCTATCAAGTTCAGTTTTCTGCTGTATGGCAGGTTTGACCAACATCCACTTTACATAGTCATAGTATTTCTACTGATGATCACCAAGAAGAGAGAACAAATACAATCAGACTGACCCCTCCAGGTGTATCATTCTAGTCTACTGGGTTTTCTTGGTTTGTTTTTTCGTACTGGGGATCGAACTCGGGATCTTGCACTTGCAAGGCAGGCGCCAGAACCACTGAGCTAAATCCCCTGGCCCTTGTCTACTGTTTTTGAATGATCACCTGAAAATATTTCATGTTCAGTACTTAATGCAACCATATTAGATCACACCACTTTTTCATTTACTGAACTCTTGGAAAGATACAGGTGAACTTTAGTTCTGAGAGTGCTTTGACATCCAACTTGCAGACATTCAATTATTACCACAGCCATGTTTATCTTTCACAGAGTATACACTGGAAACACAGCATACGAAATTTGATGGGAAAAAAAACATCTCCTAGTGCATCTATTTTTACACTGTAAGACTGAATCTTTTAGTTGATTTTTACCAGTGTTTCCATATAATTCTTTAAAAAAGAACAATACTCTAGAGGCTATTCTCTAAATATTTGGACAACTTAAGATGAATTTATAATACAAATGACAAATTTCAACAATAAGAAAATAAAAGGGCAGGAAATACCACAATGCATTTTGAATGACTTGAAAAATATACTCAACAAAAAAGCTTTTTTTGAGTGTTTTTCTTTCCTTTTACCACACTGTAAAAGTCTATTATCCATTAAAAATTTATATATCTCTATTTCTGCTAAAGTAGCTATGCTAAACACAGTTGTAGAAAAGTACCTTTAAGCCTCTTTTTTTTGGTAACGGGGATCGAACTCGAGACCTTGAGCTTGCAAAGCAGACAGCGGAACCACTGAGCTAAATCCCTGGCCCCAAGCCTCTTAGTGAAAGGCTACAGCCACTCTTTTCTCAAAAAGGTTGGCCTCCACATTGGACTCACCTTTACAGTGATTTTCATCCCAAGGGTATGCACAGTTTTGAACACCATTACAGACTAGAGAGTTATTGATGCACATGTTGCTATGGCAAAAGAAAGTGTTGCCTGTGCAGGGAGCTGTAGGAAAATAGAAAATTGTGTTGCTAAGAACAGAGATTTATAGAGTACAAGCCCATCGTGATTCATTTTACACTTAAGAATTTGACTTTATAAGTAATTTCTTACCTCAAAGTCCTTTCCATAAACACACTCTGTGCTACACACATAATAAGACAAATGTCAAAATTTCTGATGCTGCCTCATACAAACTTTTCCTAACATTGGGCACCAAAGCGTTGCTCTCAATGTAGTGACAATATAAATGTAGTTCCCATAATTCTTATGGAATTGCTGTATAGTTTGGTAAATTTCTGCAGAATTTTAAAAGACAGTGTATGCAAGGATGTAGAGACACAGGAACCCTTCATATGTTGCTGATGGGAATGTAGAATGTTGCAGATGCTGCAAAAAACTGGTGGCAATTCAAAAAGCTCAATATACAGAATTACCTTATGATTCAGCAATTCTACTTTTAGGTATAAGCCAAAAGTAAACAAGTAGGATCGCAAACAGATACTTGCATACCAATGTTTATAGCAGCATTATTCGTATCAGCCAACAGGTAGGAACAACTCGAATGTCCATCAGTAGATATAGAAAATGTGCTATATATATATATGATAACAGAATATTAGTCATAAAAGAAATGAAATTCTGTTACATGCTACAACATGGATTAAGTTTCAAAACTACACCAAGTAAAATAAGCCAAATATTTCTTAGCATAATTATTATATGATTATATATATTACCATATGACAATTAAGTATGATTCTTCCTCTATGAGGTGGTACCTAGAAGAAGCAACTTCATAGAGACAAAAAGTAGAACAAATGTTACAGAAACTGGAGGAGAAGAGGAATGGAGAAATAATATTTAAAGGGAATAGAAATTCAGTTTGGGGTGATAAAAAGCTCAGGAGACTGACAGTAGTGACAGGTGCACAACAACATGAACGTACTTACTGTCACTTAACTGTATACTTTAATCAAGGTAAATTTTAGGCTACAAATATTTTATCACAGTAAAAAAAAAGGGAGGAAAATCCACTTTTCTGAATTTCAAAAAAGGTTTCTAAAAGGCCATAAAATTATATAGAATACATACAATGCCATTTCGTATTTTCTACAAGTTATTTTTTTCAGCTCATAATGTCTCCTTCCTCCATGGTGATCACCTATTCATCTTGCAAAATAATCTTAAATGTCACCCACTAGAAAATCCCCTTTGTTCTCCTCGATGGTTACTTCCATGTGTTTCTCTCATACTCTATACTACTCTATTTGACACTTCTTGTGCATGTAAATATTTGTTATAATGGATTATGATTAAATATACTTACTTCTATTATGAAATAAAGCTCTAATCTGGAAACCAAACTCACAGTAACAAAGTATCTCAGGTGTAAAGACACAAACAAATCTGAACATTAAGAATGCAGCTTAATATCTTCCTCCCATTAAGCAAAACTGTAGCAGTATCACAAAGCCCAAAACATTCAACCATTTTGACTTTTAAAATTATAGTTAAGCTGGGCATGGTGATACCTGCCTGTAATCCCAGCACTAGGGAGGCTGAGGCTGGAGGACAGCTAAGAGGTCAAGGTCACCCTGGCTACATAATGAGTTTAAGGACAACCTAAATTACATACTGAGACCCTGTCTCAAAAATAAAAAAGAAAAGGAAAAAGAAAAGAAAAGCTAAACAAAATGTATTTCCTGCCTAAAAGATTCTTTTTTTTTTTAAATTCAGAAAATATGTGATTTATCAAGGAAGGACAACTGAATATTAGCTCTATACCATGCTGACAAACTTAAGTATTTATACATTTTCTTTTTAAGTTTCTTTTCAATATGAAAGAAATATCTAACAATTTTACTGAAATAATACATGTTTTTTCCCCTAAACAAGATCTATTTCTTTCTTTAAAAATGTAGACTGAACCTCATTAAAACTACAGCCACAAGTTTAATATTTTTTCCCCCTAAAGAGAAGACTCTCTTTAGGGTGTAGTTGCAGGAAGTTTTGTAATACCTGGTCATGATCTCCTTGTGTTTATACTGTTGGTAATAAAACTGGTACTTTGGTGTCCACTTGCCATACCTCCTCTGTATTTTTCTCAAGTACCTCTGAATATGGGCTGGAAAATGTATTTGTTAGGTCTCCAGGAAACCTCAAATGTAATCTGATAAACACAGGTTAATAGAGATTATTCAAAATTGCTTGGTTATCAGGATGTAAACATCCCCTTAAGGCAGAATCCTCTTTCACAGTGATGGTGAATCTTTTAGATTGCCCAACTGCAACCCAAACTCACTTATTTATCGAAGTGCCAACACTACAGTTAAACTTGAATACTGAGGTTTTAGTTCAGAAAAAACAACTCATACACTAACATCTTCTGTCTTAAAAGAAAAACATAATAACAGAGCTTTCAATGATACAAATGCCTTCCTACTGAAAGGTAAAAGTTTGCATTTGGCATGCTTTTGAATAATTAATGTGATCTTTGCTGTTGTATGCATGCTGATAATCTGGCAAACCTTGGCTGGGATGACTTGGCTTGTTGCTGCTGCAGCATGCATGCCATAGGTCCACCATCATTGCTCTAAAAGGTGCTATTTTCCCAAGTTCCAACAGAGCAGGTTAATAATCTTCGGTTAGTGATTATGAAGTAGGATTTTATAACCTTTCTGCCACAAATTTGAGTTTAGATATGGCTTTTTTATCTACAGATGATAAAACAGTAGTCTTCACATTAAACTTTTAAGCTTACTTGCTAAATATGTAACCACTACAGTTTAACTATAACTCCTAGGTGACTTGCATCACTGGAGTCTAATGTAGCTAAGGACTGAATAACTTGGGGAACAGTGATGTACAGCAGAAAGTGGAAGACACAACAAACTAGCATCAATATAAATTGCTTCTGTGATGGGTCCATTTGTACACTTTAAGATATTTAACTTCCCTAGGCTTCAGTTTCCTCTTTTAAAATGAATAGGAAGAAACTGGCCATGGTGGCATATCCCTGTAATCCCAGCACTCAGGAGGCTGAAGTAGAAGGATTGATTGCTAGGAGTTCAGGCCAGCCTGGACTACAGACACAGTGAATTCAAGGCTAGCCAGAACTTCACAGCAAGACCCTGTCTCAACAAACAAACAAACAAACAAATAAATAAACAAACAAGCAAATAAATAAAAAGGGCCGGGGATTTAGCTCAGGAGCACCATGCCTGCCATGCATGCACAAGGTCCTGAGTTTAATCCTGGTACTGGAAGAAAAGAAAACAAGGAATGGTATGGAATATAACTCAGACTTCTGGTTCTAAGAATTGGTGAGACTAAAACTAGTGGCCTTGGTTTTTCATGTTGATACTTTTGTTCTTAACCTAGATGCAAAAAAAGTATGTAACTAGTAAGATTAGAGAGGCTGTTAACTCGACAAAATGTTATCATTTAAATTAAAACCAGTATTTCAGGATTCTTTTTTTTTTTTTGCAGTACCAGGGTATCAGGACCTCGCACTTGTGAGGCAGGTGTGGCGCCACTGAGCTAAATCCCTGGCCCCTGTATTTCAGGATTCTTACAAAAATGCCTGTTGATTCCAAAGCTCATCATAAGGACAATAGCTATTATTTACATAATTAACCTATCATATTGAGAATAGGTCAGCCAGTAAAGATGTACAATGGTATTTTATTTACATAGTAAAATTTGCTAGTGTACCTACCTACTTTAATTGTGTTGTAAATAGCATAAAACTGTATTTTACAAATGACTGTACTTTAAAATAGTGAAAATGGCCCTAGAGAAATAGCATTTTTTTTTCTTTTGGTACTGGGATTGAACTCAGGATCTTGCACTTGTGAAGCAGGAGGCAGAACCACTGAGTTAAATCCCAGGCAGGAAATAGCTTTTTTTTTTTTTGTACCAGAGATCGAACTCAGGACCTTGTGCTTGCGAGGCAGACAGGAGAACCACTGAGCTAAATCTCTGGGCCAAGAAATAGCATTTTTGAGCTCTTCATTTCTACTCACTGCAGTTTTCCTGTATTTATAGACCATGCCACAATTATATTATATATGATGCACTATTATATTTCAGTTCTACTATCTATTTTAGCTAGTTCATATTGTGGGAGAAGATAAGTCATTTTTGCAACAAGTTGAATGAGGTTATAAATAGCATTGTAGCTCCATGGTATTCTGACTTTCTCAGAAAATTATGTGACCATACTTTGATGGCTCTTAGTAACTTAAAAGGAGCCTAAAAGACAGGTTTTCTATTCCATGCTCAATAATTGAACATTGAGAGAAAAATACCCTTAGTTTTTATTATAGACTCTATAATTGCTCTCCATAGTATTTAAAGAAGTTAGAAAATAGTATTGATAGTCAGATTTTGTTTTGTAGAAATGCAAATTACATATATAATTACAAGTACATTAGGCTTTATGGCTTTTAATCAGATCAGCACAGATGTTTAAAATAAGAATCAGTTTAAAAATTTAGCTCAGTGGTTTCACTGCCTGCTATGCAAGCGCAAGGACCCGAGTTCGATCCCTGGCACCTCCCCAAAATAAAATGCATCAGTTAGGGCCCACCCAGTTGTCCGCAGGGAGTGAGGACTGGCCCGGACCCCTGAGGCCACAGACCTCAGTCCCAGGCTGGTGCCCTCCATGGTGTAGACGCCCTGACCGCCCTGGGATGCCCAGCAGGGCAGGGACCCTGGGTGGTGCTCTGGGGCGAGGTTAGGAGACACCAGGCTGCAGCAACCCCTGCCCTGCCTCCTTCTGTGCTTTTCTAAGGTGTAGAGGGGAGGGCGAAGAGAGGAAAGGCAAGTAAAAAGGATCAGGTAAAAAGGATGAAGCGTGGTGATCAGGTGTGGTGGCCCATGCATGTAATCCCAGCACTGGAGGCTGAGGCAGGAGGATCACCAGGAGTGCGAAGTTAGAATGGGCCACATAGTGAGTTCAAGGCCAGCCTGTATTACATAGTCGGACCCTGTCTCAACAA